GCTAGCAGTCCAAGCCTTTCACCAATGAAAACATTCAGTCCATCATGAAAGAGCAGCTAGAATCTTCTAACAGACGAGAAAGGGACAGCATTCTTCTTCCACAGTCCAGCAGCTGGTCTTAGACATTTATGGGCTGTTGTAAAAAGATGAGGTGATGCTACGCCGTGGTAAACATGGCTCTGCACCAACTTTTTTGGAGAAATGTTGCTGCCATCAAATTCAAAATTAGTATATTTTTATTTTTATTTTTATTTCTTTTTAGTTATAGTTAGTTAATTAGTTAGTATATTGCTTTAAATAATGCATTTTCTCAGCTCAAACATTTGATATGTTTTCTGTTGTAGTATTTGTCATGTCATACAGTTTTTAGGCCTTTTGATTCTAGATGAGTCACAGTTAATAGCTGACCAAAAAAAAGCCTAAATATATCCACTATGATTCAGTGTTCAGGATTTTCTCTACTGTTACATTTGGACTCTCTCAGTCAACTCTTTGCCCGTGTTTATTTGAAACTGGAAAGTGTGGCTGGAAATTACTCATACTGATTTTAAGATAGGATAAAGCTTCTCACATGATCACTCAATAGGAATAAAATGCTTTATTAAAAAGGGCTGATTTTTTAAAACAAATGTGGTAAAATTACAGGTTTCAGTGAAAAGCTTTAACTGTGACTACTTGTAATTTGCCCCAAGGCTGGGCGAAGCATTACATGTTTGAGGGATAACTTCCACAGCAACAAAAATTTGCGTTCAGCAGAGAAGCTCCCCAGTAGTTTTCCACACGCCTGTCTATCCGGGCAGTGCTTAGCCCATCTGGCGTGTCAGTTAAGAGTGACACACCTTTAGTTTCTGTTTAAGTCATGTTCACATTTTATATTAAACACATTACTTACTTATATAGCCATAAACAATAAAAAGAGCCTGTTTGTTTGGTGACGTTAAATAAAGGTGAGTTTATGTTGTTATTACCATCATTGTTCCAGTTGGCATTTTCAATCCTAACAATGCAGTTTGTCATGTTATTGCAAGACTATTGCATGTTTTGCAGTCTGTGTTGAATAGACTCTACAGAAACAAATGTTAAATGTGTGCTGCACCTCCTCATAGATTCATTTCTCTAATCTTCATAGACTGTCATGGTGATTAACTCGAAGAATAAACTCGTGGCTTCTCTGCATGCCTTTTTTTTAATGTAAAATGTCATCCTCTTAAACCAGCTGCTGATAAAATTGTTATAACTCTAAGAAGATTTAACAAGGAAGTTATAAATGGCTGGACCCCATTAATCTTTAGGGTAAAATATATTTTATTAAATAATAACACTAAACACTGAAGGTTACTTTACAAAGAATTAAAAATCAATAAGAATGAATGGAAATACCTATCAAATTACAATATGTAAAATCATTAAGAACAGAGAATCACAGTGAGTAAGACAATTTAAGGAGGTGCAGGACAAAAGATTGCATAGTGAAGAAAAAGTCAGTGTTATATACAGTGGGATGCAAAAGTTTGGGCAACCTTGTTAATAGTCCTTATTTTCCTGTATAAATCGTTGGTTGTTACGATAAAAAAATGTTAGTTAAATATATCATATAGGAGACACACACAGTGATATTTGAGAAGTAATGAAGTTTATTGGATTTACAGAAAGTGTGCAATAATTGTTTAAACAAAATCAGGCAGGTGCATAAATTTGGGCACCACAAAAAAAAAAAATGAAATCAATATTTAGTAGATCCACCTTTTGCAGAAATTACAGCCTCTAAACGCTTCCTGTAGGTTCCAATGAGAGTCTGGATTGTGGTTGAAGGTATTTTGGACCATTCCTCTTTACAAAACATCTCTAGTTCATTCAGGTTTGATGGCTTCCGAGCATGGACAGCTCTCTTTAACTCACACCACAGATTTTCAATAATATTCAGGTCTGGGGACTGAGATGACCGTTCCAGAACGTTGTACTTGTTCCTCTGCATGAATGCCTTAGTGGATTTTGAGCAGTGTTTCGGGTCGTTGTCTTGTTGAAAGATCCAGCCCCGGCGCAGCTTCAGCTTTGTCACTGATTCCTGGACATTGGTCTCCAGAATCTGCTGATACTGAGTGGAATCCATGTGTCCCTCAACTTTGACAAGATTCCCAGTCCCTGCACTGGCCACACAGCCCCACAGCATGATGGAACCACCACCATATTTTACTGTAGGTAGCAGGTGTTTTTCTTGGAATGCTGTGTTCTTTTTCCTCCATGCATAACGCCCCTTGTTATGCCCAAATAACTCAATTTTAGTTTCATCAGTCCACAGCACCTTATTCCACAATGAAGCTGGCTTGTCCAAATGTGCTTTAGCAAACCTCAAGCGGCTCTGTTTGTGCTGTGGGCAGAGAAAAGGCTTCCTCTGCATACAGCATACAGCATACAGCATCTCTTTGTGTAAAGTGTGCCGAATGGTTGAACGATGCACAGTGACTCCATCTGCTGCAAGATGATGTTGTAGGTCTTTGGTGCTGGTCTGTGGGTTGACTCTAACTGTTCTCACCAGTCGTCGCTTCTGTGTATCCGAGATTTTTCTTGGTCTGCCACTTCGAGCCTTAACTTGAACTGAGCCTGTGGTCTTCCATTTTCTCAATATGTTCCTAACTATGGAAACAGACAGCTTAAATCTCTGAGACAGCTCTCTGTATCCTTCCCCTAAACCATGATGGTGAGCAATCTTTGTCTCCAGGTCATTTGAGTTGTTTTTGAGACCCCCATGTTGCTACTCTTCAGAGAAAATTAAAAGAGGAGGAAAACTTACAATTGACCCCCTTAAATACTCTTTCTCATTATTGGATTCACCTGTGTATGTAGGTCAGGGGTCACTGAGTTTACCAAGCCAATTTGAGTTCCAGTAATTAGTTCTAAAGGTTTTGGAATCAATAAAATGACAACAGTGCCCAAATTTATGCAACTGCCTGATTTTGTTTAAACAATTGTTGCACACTTTCTGTAAATCCAATAAACTTCATTTCACTTCTCAAATATCACTGTGTGTCTCCTGTATGATATATTTAACTGACATTTTTTATTGTAACAACCAACGATTTATACGGGAAAATAATGACTATTAACAAGGTTGCCCAAACTTTTGCATCCCACTGTATGTCACAAACAGTTTTGTCAAGGTTTGCTGTATAGCAGGCAGGGTGTACTACAAACACAAAAGCAAAACTTGAAACTAGAAACACAAAAACTCAAACTAAAACACAAGAAAATAAACCAGGAACTGAGAAATAGGAATTAACTTTTTAAACATAGGCTGCATCTTCCTGAGGGCACATTTGTAGACCGATTACGTCACAGCAACGCGACAAAGGCTGTCTCAATTCGTAGACTCCTCTTAATCCGGCCGACAAATGCGTCCTCATTTTCCCCAGATTTGAAGGATGGGTTGGATGTATCCTTCGTGGCCCACAATATCCAAGTTTTGGGACACAGCTAATGAGAGGATGGGGAACAGGTGGTAACACAGCTGGGACAAATCAGACCTAATGAGACAAGGGGAAGCAAAACCAGACACACTGCACACAGGACAGGGATTATCAAAATAAGACAGAAAACACATGGCAGACATGGACTTGACACAGTAACAAACTGCGACATGAGACACGACTGACTGGGGAATGAGAAAAACGTGAAGTCAGAAGTAAACCTACACTAAATGTGAGATGCACAGGAACAAAAACCAAGAAATCAGAAAGCGAAAAACTAGAGAGCTACAAATACAGAACCATAAACCAAAAGACTAGTAGTGATAAACTGTGATGAAATCAAAAAATTATAATAACTCAAAACACTGGGTCACTTACCCAGGACTCTAACAAGTTTAAAGACATCAAAAAAATAACTAAAAATATCAAAAGTATGTGAGGAAATAAGTCCAGGCTTGGGACTGGCACTAGGAGTACACTAACAGCACCATGCAGTCTCATTGCAGTTTGTAAAATAGTCACAACTATAATTTTATTAGTTTGTGTTTCTGTACATTAACTTTTATTCTTTTGTGTGTTCCTCAACATGAATTTCCCAGCATTAAATTTGAACTTTTCATCCCTCCATTCTCCTATATACCGAATCTATTGTATATCTCAAATATTTTCATGCATCATCACTTTTAAAAATATTATTAATGAACAACATGCTGCTTAGTTAAGTTTAGACAGGTTAGTTTTGTTAGGTTTTGTTTTATTATGGTACTGGACTGATTGAACAGCAGCACACACCTGAAAAGATATGCTTCCAGTGGTAAAACAGTGCCACCTTGTGGTGAATTCTTTTGTTACAGCTTGCAGGGGCAATTACAAAAAGTACCTTTAGACAAAACAGGATTTACAGAGAGCCAGTCTCCATATGAGTATATAGAAGAAAAGATCTGAGATTCTGTAAGAGGAGACAAGGGGTGTCAAGCCTCTCCTTTGGTCAACTCACAAAACCAGTGCTGACTGCAGGTTAGGGTTAGTCAGTGGTGCTAGTTTATAAGGTGGGGGAAGCCTGCAGTCAGCCGAGACTTAAATGGTCACTTGGATGAGTGATGAGTGAATGTTTTCCCCACTGAAAACACTACGTCCAGATTAACAGAATAATTTTTTTGTGATATAACCTTTTTGTGTACATTGTGTACAACCAGTTTTGACTTGATAATGTCAGTACTGGGTAAAAACTGTTTGAGTCCTCAATGTATCTTTCCAGGAAGTGATGCCTACATAAATGAAAACAGGATTGATCCTTAAAAAAACCTGTTCATTTTCTGTGCCAACCAATAATCTATAGAAAATTTCTAGCTCCTTCACTTTGAGGAGGTCACCGGCTCCCAACTGAGCGGCTGACTGCAATCAAAGAGTGCAAACTGAGCGAGATGACTCACCTCTCCTCAAGTTCCTGTGTCTGTGCCACTTGGTTTGTGATTTTAAGCCTGGGCACTCGTTTAATATACGAGGACGTTGCATGTTAAAAGAAAAGAATATATAGATTAACCTTGATAAATAAGGGTTATTTGGTATATACTAGCTAGTATTAGCAGCGTTTACAGTAAAAAAACAGTGACGTATTTAACTACACTGAACAAATACCAAATAATCGTGTTGGCTCAGTCAAATGGCGAGTAGAGGGCAGCTACACTCTCTTTGGCAGTTGCACAGAGCTAGCTAGTAGGCTATCCTCTATCGATTAACGCCAAACAAAATTACGAATGGAAAATGAGATATCACACAGGTTAATTTTTGAGTAAGTTACTTGGTTTATCTTAATTGCGTTGAATTAATGAAAGGAGGTAAACTCTGAAAACAGGCCAGAGTTCGGGATTTTCTTTTCGCCTCTCGCTTCACAAGCGTACATGCAGAGACTCATCTTTATGCATAAGTGGTCTTTGTTAGAAGGAAACCACAACTGAGCTGCACCACGGGGAAAAACCAAGACGACGCTGTAGGCGTGTCTGTCAACTTTATCATTTCTTTCAGGAAGTAGACATATTTTATTTCTCGTGCCATAACTTTTCTTTTGCGTGCGATAGAAACACGTTGATGGTGAGCTTTGGTTGAGGAACTGTCATGTCGGACTCTTTGGAACGGTCTACGAAGATCAACTCGTTGAAGGAGCCGGTTGTGAAGAGGCTGTGTGAGGTGCTGGACAAATCCAGCACTAAAGGATGGCGAAAACTTGGAGAGATTGTTGCCAATGATAGACGGTTTAAAGTCAGGTGGGTTAAACATTACTATTAGTACTTGTACTTAGCAAATGACCAGAAATCATTGCATGCATACACTTAACCACCGGTTTATTTATTAAAGCTAATGGAGACTAATGCGATTAACTTTCATTATAGTTACACTGTTCGGTTTGGTGGTTATTGTCAATTTTATGTTGTGGTTTATATTAAAAAATAAAGGTGTAGAGTAATACAGTAATGCACAATTAACCTGTATATTTTCTGGCATAAATAAATATGTAACTCCAAGTTAATAAAATCAAGAAACCCTCATTGAGAGATTAAATTGGACAAATATTTGTTTTTCCTTACAGCGTCTTCCAGGTTAATGGCAGTTAATGAAACTATCAATCAAAAGTGTAGGGTCCAGTCATTATTTATATGCAGTTTTATTAACAAATAATGATGATGGCTAATGTTTGCCTCTGTTTTTTCATCCTAGCTGTTACTGTACAGCTGTAACATTATCATATGATATCACACCTGCCGAATATCACTATTACACCGTGTGTTTGAGTACATATATTCCCCGTACAGTGCAGTCTGCTTATAAGATGAAATATGCATTATTATACCAAAACAGCAGCCAAAACTTAAAAAACAACGTGGCTCAATCAAATAAGTACAAACTAAATAAGCTCAGACAAGTGTAAAATAGCACAAAAGAAGGGAGTTCAGGTAAATAGAGAATCACAAAAACTGAACAGCAAGACATATCAGCTCTTAAATATAACCTATTAAGGAGCTTTGTAATAAGCTTCAACAAATACAAGTGTTACGGTATGACACTAACATCTATCTGTTAGATAAAGTGTTTCACTGATTGTGCACTAAGCAGTGCAGATGGTTTAAAGATTATCATTAATTTGCCTTTCTTTTAAATTTGTGTAAACTTATTCCCTTATCTTTGTCTAACAGTTTCTTATGATCTGAGTTTTCGTGTGTGAAGATGGTAAAGACGAGTTTTACTGTAATACGATTTGAAATATGAAATGCTGACAATCACCTACATGTTTTCCAGCTCGGACGACATGGAGATGTGCTCGCTGAAGGTGCTGGAGCTGGAGGGAAGCCCGAGTCTCATGCTGCTGAGGCTGATGGGAGAGCGAGGCTGCACCACAGGCCATCTGATGGACTACCTCCAAACTTTAGGCAACTCAGAGGCTCTGCAGTGCCTGAAACCGCCAGGTAGAGTAAAACCACATCGATGCTGCTATGTTGTCAATCATGCAGGTTAATCTTCACTTTCTGCATTCTTTTTATTTCTCATCTGAAGCTCGCAGTTCATTGTGCTGTTTGGATGAAACTTATAGGCACCACAAAGTTCTGCTGTATACAGTGCATCTAAATCAGTGTAAATTCACAGTAATTATCCTGTACATGTGCAGCCCTCCAGATCCTCATTCAGCCCCAGGCTGTATCCATTATATGTGGCCACAATCTGCGGCTCAGCTGCCATGCTGTGGGCAAGTCTCCAGTACAGTACCAGTGGTTCAAATCTAAGGAAGAGGTGAGTTCCTCTGATGCACACACACACACACACACACACACACACACACACACACACACACACACACACACACACTGAATTTTTTCTGACTTTAAATGAAGTACTTGCGTTAAAACCTCTTTAGCGTTTTTCACACATTCACTGCAGCCATAACTTTATTAACTTTACTAGAAATGACACAACTGAAATGCATGTGAGATCAAAAATGTCCAACATGGTCTGATCAAACATTAAATGGTGTTTAAACCGACAACTTCCTAGTACAAAGTCCACCTGCATGATCCGGTAAATTCACCACTAGTGAGTCCTGCGGTTGCATTCTCTTCTCAGTCAGGACTTTCCCATAAAACAGAGTATTTCCAATAGTGAGAAGACATGATTACCCTATCATCGGTGCAGTAAATAGCACTGTTGTTTCATCATAGTTAATGGGTGATCCTAAATAAGTGGTGAAGAAACTTACCTGAATCTCTTCCTATAGCGCAGCGATGTTTTTTAGTGAGCTGAGCAACTCATAAAGTTGCACAGTTGCAATTGTCTGCATGTGTCAGCGTCAGCATGCATTCAGTCTTGTGACGCCATGCTGAAAGGGATACATAAGTGTTACTCATTCTGACTTGAAGGATGTAACTTTTTTCAGAAGTATGGCGTGGGTGCTCAATCATAGAAAAATACACATTCAGATGCTGTCGTATTATTAGGAGGAAGGAGCTCATGTCTGAGTTTCTACCCAAAGCTTTGATCTTTTCTAATGAGTTTGTGTTTTGGTTTTAGTTTATTTTCACTCAGTTTACAGAGTGGTTTTGCTCATTGTGTTGTGTAGTTATTGTTTAAATTTCATTAGTGTCAGTGTTGTTTGTGTGTTTTTAATGATTATAAGGAGGCTGTTTGTCAGCCTCTTCCGCCTGATTTCCCTAAATGAACTAACAGACTAAAACTAAGGACATTAGTTTTATAAATACACAATTTTTTTCCAATTGTTTTTCAAGACACTAAATGTAATTTTAGGTAACTGCAAGGTTATTTTAAAAAATATTTTTCCCCAAACTGTTAACTTTGCCTCACGGTCTCTGAAATGCATTTCCTTAAGCAGTACTTCCTGGCAGAAGTCTTTAAGGAAGTCAGGATTTTAAGCAGTGAGTCACAAACTTGAGCTGAAGTACAAAATTAACAAGTTTGGGCTTGAAGCGATCTCAATCAGCACCTTTTTCAAATAGAAACAGTGCTCCTTGTGCCCTGCTTGCTCCTGATCTTGTGATGTAAAAGACTTCATCATCCCTTTTTGGATTTCAGCGACTCATAAAGATCATTGACAGTAAAAGATCAAAGAAAGACAAAGCTCACAGGCCCAAGTTGAGAAAAATGTATATACCTTCCAGTTTATTATGTCCATAATGATGACATAATGTTTCCATCATGCAGAGTTTTCAGGCATTAGATAAAATGACTGTGGTGTCGAAATTGTCTCACTTCTGAGCTGGGAACAACCTTGTAAACTAATAAATGTGGTTTTCAAACTTCAGGTTCCAAACAGCTTCTCCCCAGACTTGGTAATAAGTCCAGTCCAGATGAAGGATGCTGGTTTTTACATCTGCAGAGTCAACTGTGGAGATGCCTTTGAATTCAGCCACTGGGCTCAGGTGGATGTCCTGAATGTCACCTTGTGTTACGGTAAGATTGTGCAGGTTTATATTCAGTAGCTCTGTCCAAAAATCATATTCAGTTAAGGTGATGTTTGATGTTACAGCTCTGATTGTTAATATTTAACATCTCTGGGCTTTAGGAGTTGAATTACATCACTGTCTATATGCTGTCCGCTGTGTGGATAGAAGAAATTAAGTTATCAGGTCATGATTCACCTCATGAGCCATGACAAAAACTGAAAGAGACACAGTTTAAATTAAAAGTATTAACTGAAAAGAGGTTATGTGGTCAGTGTTGTGGTCAGCAGGTGGAGTTAAAATGGTGAGTGTAAGAGCGGGGATTGGGAACTCAAGGGCCGGTGTCCTGCAGGTTTTAGATATCATCCTGGGTTACCACATCTGAATCAAACAATTAGTTCATTATCAGGCCTGTGGAGAACTTCGAGACATGTTGAGGAGGTAATGTAGCCATTTAAATCAGCTGTTGGATCAAGGACACATCTAAAACCTGTAGGACACTGGCGCTTGAGCCCTGGAGTTCCCCCACGCCTGGTGTAAGGTGTTGTACTATGCAAAACTATATTAAAAGGTTGAAGCAGGCAAAACAAGTAACACAATGCTGGGTAGATAAGAGAGAGAGAGGGATACAGCTCAAATGCTGGAAACTGACCAAGTGCTCCCATTTGCATTGTTTGACTCCGCCTACCAAAAAACCTCCAAAAACACATCAACTCTGGCCAAGACAGGAGGGCTGTCATGAGTTCTTACTGTTAGAGAAAGGGCCTTTTTTGTAGAGCCGTTGGTAATCTTATCTCCAGTTAAAGCTAAAACATTGAAGTTTCTTTAGCAGCGTTTGTGAATGGCTTTAGCGTGATGCAGAAGTGATTTTGTAATTCCTGTGGTTAATTGCTGTGGTTATTAGCATAAATGCGCTAAATATTAATTCTGCGCTACAGCTGCTCAGCCAAGAATCTCAAGAATCTAGCGTGTGTGCGAATTAGCGCGGTGTTAAACACTGCACTCTTGTTACATCACAATTGTTACAGATTAGTTATAAGACCAAAAGCTCTTGTCTATTCAATGCAAAGCAGCAGTGATTGACAGTTTGTTGTTATATTGTTTGGATAGCAGGCGAAGTATTTCATAATCCAGAGCCACGCCTGCTGGTACACATCTTGAATGTGTGGTACTAGAGAAGAAGTTTAAGTGTGGAATTTAAATCCTCAAAAAAGGACCAGTGACTGTGATCGTTCTGACCTGATGCCTTGCAGTGTGCGCTAGCTATATACTGTGCACATAGCTAGCACACTTGCAATATTTAATACATATGCTCTTCAGATGTTTGTCTTTTATGAGTTTTTGTTTTACTTCCTTCCAGCTACCCTGTGCTCCTGTGCCTGGAATATGAAAATAACATGGATGCTGTGACGAAGATGTGGCCTTATTGCTCAAAGCTAATAAATGGCACACTACAAGCTTTTGTCACTGTAAAATAGCTTTGCCTGATTTGGTTGACTATTAATAAAATTAACTTTCCCAGCTAACCTATATCCCTCTTTGAGGACAACAACCAACAGTTGCAACCTAATAATGTACTAGTAATTAAATAACATAAAAAACGGTATGCAAAATCTTGCAGTTTACACAATTAATCAGAAGTTTCTTTCTTGGTGTTGTGTACAATGGTTTTCTCCAGTATTCCAACATTTTATTCTGACTTTATGTAGATTTTCTCCATTGAAAACAAATTATTCATCACTGAGATATTGTTAGTGTTTGAAGCTCACTGACCTCAGTTTCCTGTTCTTTGTCTGAACAGGACTTGTTTATTTTTGCGGGACCTGAAACTCTGTCACTTTTTCCAGCTCAAATGGGAATCCTTTAACGGATGAAGAATACGTTATGCAGTGCTGTGTGTAATTGTCTTCTTTCCTCACATCACCAGGGCAGAGTTATCACTCTTTAGATGGTCGACTAAAGGTGGTGATCCAGCCTCAGTCCCAGCGGCTACATGTTGGGGAAGATTTGCAGCTGGAATGCGGAGCCGTGGGACGGCCGATTCCTCGATACCAGTGGCACAGAAATGGAGTCCCAATTCCAAATTCTACAAAGAGGAAACTCATGGTGAGAGGATATGGGAAGAAATGTTTTTCTTTTATTGCTTGTGTGTGTGTGTGTGTGTGTGTGTGTGTGTGTGTGTGTGT